CACTTAAAGTAAGTAAAACTCATAAAACTGCTCACAAAATTGGTTCCTCTAAACCAAGTTGAGTAAATTGCATTTAGTTTAGTGGAACCAGTTGACATAACTTGGTTAAGTAAATTCACCACTTCATTTTTTACAAAGCATAAACATGTGTTAAATTTGAAAGTGAAGAAGTAAAAGTCTAATTTTTACATTTTTAATGTGACAAAAGTGAAAGTTACGACACTAAAACACGTCAACATTTTTAGTAATGTTATGATTTTATTCTCAAATTATTATGACTTTATGCTCTTATTACGTACGGAAGCGTAGAGCTGTCACATGAATGAAATTATTTTTAAACTGGATCTCATAACGAGAAAACTGTCTTGTAAAACCAAGAAAATTATCTTGTAAAAACAAGGAAACTATCTTGTTATACCAWGATAACCATCTCGTTATAACGTGTYGTGRTTTCTTCTGGTTTGTCACTTTCACKGAAGTYTATTGCCTGGATGGTGTGATGGAGAACACGACTGAGCCACTATTTAACAAAAATGAACAGAATTATTTGGGTTTGTGCTCAGAYGTTGCAGCTACTAGCACTTAATAATACTCACTCTCTAATCTGAATTCAGACGCTATTATTGCAAAAACATTACTCAGTACTAACTTGTCATTTTTTAGTCTAGAAAAGTGTTCCTCTTGCAGATTTCTTCTTCGTAAAAAGGCATATGGTGAGACTCAGTCGTGTTCTCCATCACACCATCCAGGCAATAAATGTTTGTGAAAGTGACAAACCAGAAGAAACCATAACATGTTATAACAAGATGGTTATCTTGATATAACAAGATAGTTTTCGCGTTTTTACAAGTTTTCTCGTTTTTACAAGATAGTTTTCTCATTATAATGAGATATTTTCGTCATTATAACGAGATCCGGTTAAAAGAATAATTTCATATCATGTGGCAGCTCTACGCTTCCGTAAATACGACTATGCGAGTCAGCGATACTAGATTTTAAAGCCCAGGCTACTCTTTHAGCTTCTAAATCAGATTTACGACGTTGGAATCTAGTTTCTGAACTTGGAAGTCGGAAAATCCAACTTCCAAGTTGAGATGAAATGCACCTTTTAACTTTATTTCTCCAATTGTGGGTCTGTGAAGAGCAATCAAATACAGGTAACATATTATTTAGTCAACTTTTTCACAGAACCCCACTTCAGAATATCGGAACGACTGCGTTTTATTCATATAGATTTTCTTTAAAGGCACAGTGTGTAGGATTTGTTGTTTTCAGCGACATCTAGTGGTTGAGTGGTTGAATCATCCTCCCTGGTCCTC